TAAGTTGCTCTGAGTTTATTGTGCAGGCTGAACATGAAAATAGTCTCCTACACCTATCTCCGGCATTAGCTTCTGATAGAAAATAGACTGTGATACTCTAGGATTAGAAAAGCCTGACATATCTACGTCTCACTGTCACTTAACATTCATGGAGTCACCCATCTTGACTCGCGACAGGGAAGTTCTGTTGTTAGTTTAGCTTCCAGAAAACGGCAGAGAATGGAGTTACTAATGCTAATTGTTAGCGTTAGCAATTCCACCATACATCAGAACACCTTCAGGATTGTGTTATTTGTGGAGATAAAACATCAACGTAGTATAGCAAATGGAATCAATGGTGGAGTCGTGTTTCTGGTATCCAGTCAGAAGTGAGATGTCCATACTTTTAGAGACCAATGCAAATGTATCGATTTAACAAGTGTCCCATGCCTTTAAAAAAACAATACCTCAGAAAATAATTCATAAACCAGACTCTACTATGACAAGTATGACAGTTAAACAAAAATGCATTCATCACCCACACATGTGGTAACACTTTGCTAACAAATTGGATACCTGAATTTACAGACTTTGTATCAACTTGTTAAATGGGACATATTTTATTGGTATGAAGCTGTAAGCTGCTCTACCAATATAGTCACGTCGTGTATATATCAGTGAATTAGTACCCATCTGTGCAACTTGACACCCCTAATATAGAAGCTATAGTTTATCACCGTTTGTAGCTCAAAGAAAACAACGGAATGGATTTGCAGCTTCATGAAGCTTGTTGTGTATTTGAGGACTATTAATGTGAGTCTAACTGTTTTATTAGGAGATGGGTGAATTAATTACTGCGCACATCTAAGTTTGTCAGAGGAGTGGGAGCAGAAAACCACAGGATCATTATGACATGTAAACATCTCACCTCTGACTGGCTAACAGAAGCGTGACTCTTCCGCTGCCTTTGTTAAAAACTCAGAATACTGTAAAACACATTTACTTGATGGAAAATGCAACATTGATGTTTTATGTCCACAAATATCACAAGCTGGAACATGTTCCGGCATGTTTTTGAGTTGCTACTGGATAGCTCCTGCTAGCTGAGATGTGCTCTGTCCTCTCCTTCTTGAGGTCACAAGGCAAGGTGGGGGAGTCCGCCAATACCCATTTTGTTTTCTGTCTGTGTCTAACGCAGACAATGAGGCTTGAGGAAACGTTTGACTTTCAGCATGTTAAACTCAAAGTGACTGATCGAATTTCAAAAAGAACAAGCATCACACATTTCTTCTTGAACAAGATCTTTAAACTAATGTCGTCTTTAACGTTCAAACAGCAATATTTTCTAATTCTAAACCTCACATGCAGGTCCACAAATATTGTTGCTTCTGCCAGTGGTGAATAAAGCTGCCCAAGATTGGTAAAGTTGACTTGTATAAACTGACTGAGATGAAATTGTGTCTTTCAAATGGACTTTTTACAATACACCTTCCTAATTCCCAAATCAGGAATTACAACAGAATTTGACACTTAGAGGTTCTGCATATCATCTAAGATCACTGATATGGGAGAAGGAAAACAACGATTGTTGCAGGTGTGAGTGAAAACAAGGAAAAAAGGAACGGCAGGTGGGTGGACAAGGAAGAAAACTCAAACTTGTCACAAATCTTTTTGCGAGCCAGTGAATCTGATGACAGGGGTTTCTGGAAAATCTCCACAGAGGATTCCTTGAAGAGCAGGTGTGAGCTACCAGGCTCTCATTCTCCTCACCTCTCTTCCCCTTTGCTCACGAGAAAAAGGATGCAGCCAGCCTATCAATGCTGGCGTAGCTGGAGCAGCTATTAATAACATCTCTTTATTGTTTCTAACATGTTCATAGTGGCCCTCTCAAGAGCACAATCTAAATACTAAGTACACAAACAGCCTTCTGAATGGAAGTGATTAGCAAACAATGTTTTATAGAAATGTAATGAGCTAAATAGAATATTTTACTTAATAATTTATCAAACATCTAAATACTATTTGGAATTTATTTGTATAGCTGGAAGTGGAATATGCCAGTGTGTCATCCAGCTGTTAAAGAGTAATGCAAGCCTGAGTGCTAAATAAATAGCTTTAACACTAAACATTGTCTGATTAGCACCCAGATAATAAAATGGTGTAGAAGTTAAAACGACTCAATTAAATAAATTAATTCCAAACAATTATTACAGTAGATTTTTTATTTATTTCTGGATATAAAACTAATGCATTGCATTTAGTATTTTTTTAAATTAGACTTTTTCCATTTAATGGCCTGTATTGGATATAACACCAGATTTCTAGAAACCCCCAAGGCACTTTACAGCACAGTCATTCACACATTCATTCACACATTCACACCCTGGTGGTGATGAGCTGCAATGTAGCCACAGCTGGCCTGGGGCACACTGACAGATGCAGTATTCATTTTGAAAGTACTTTAAAGATCAAATTTCAACACAATTGCAGTGGTCTCTAGTATAAATGGATGCTGTGTGGGTCGACCTCTGTGGGAACAAAGCGTTTGCGCCTGTTAGCCAGAGGAGTGGGGCGCAGAAAGCAGCAGGATTTAGAGTTGTACTCATTATTACTAACCCCAACCCATTTCCTGATATTCTGACATCTCACGTCTGATTGGCTAACAACAACCCAGCTCCACAACTGACTCCATTTGCTTTGCAATATTGATGTTTAATCTTCACAAAGAAGTTCTGCCATGTTGTGGCGTAGTTAATGCTAATGGTTAGCTTCTACTAGTCGAGACACACTCTCCTCTCTCCTGGACGCTAAATCAACCACAGCCTTCCCAACACATTCTCACACCCAAGGCGTCAAAATATGATGTTTCGGGACACCCCAGCGCGTCAGGATACAACGATCAGGGACAAACAGCTGACGCAGCGTCCCAGAGCGTCGGTATCTGACGCCGGTGGTGAGACAAACCTTAGAACTACTTGTGAACTACTTAACCTTCCCCTCACCCCAATCCTCACCTAAAGGTCACAGTTTATGGACCTTAAGGTTAGGATTGGGGTGAGGGAAAGATTAAATAGTCGAATAATGTCCGTGTGACCGCGCGCGTCAAACAGTGACGCCAGCGGAGCCACGTGACCCGACGTGTCCCTGATCGTCATCTGCTGATGCGCTGGGGCGTCCCGAATCGTCATATATTGACGCTTGGTCACACGCGTCATATTTTGACGCCTTGGGTGTGAGAATGTGTTGCAGCCTTCCCCTAAATCACCGTGTGACATGGATCTGTGTGGCTCTTTCTGACCAGAGTGTTTCCCTTCTATTTCATTGGCTAATGCAGAAAACAGGGGTAGAAGACATGTTCAGCCTGCAAGTGAAACTCCGACGATGTACTTTAAAAAATAGCAAGTAAAAACATTTTCTCAGTAAACAAGCTTTGTTTAAGTGCTTTTGATTTTCTGGGACATGTGTCTTATGTCCCAGCGAGCATTTATTAAATTTTATTATCACTAACAGTGTGAGTGAATATTTTACAGAGGAAGTCCTCAGATTCACACGTGAGGCTCCTGCGTCTATCGGTTTCTCCTCCATTTTGACTTCAGTGGCTCACATCTTTCCTAATAATTATTTGAACTGTAAAGTGTTGCGTTTCACTGATTTTGCCAAGCGGGGGATTTATCACTAGTGGTGGAGGATTAACAACACATGCCAAAGTATGAAATGTGCCTTTATGAAACAGGCCACCACAGTTCACAGGCCCAGAGAGTCCAAAGGTGTGTATACCGTGATTCTTTAAACACAGTTTGCAGCCACCAGAGATGTAACTCAGTCACTGTAAGGAACTGTACTGAGAGATTTATGATGGTAACATCACCAGAGAAGTTTGATGCTCCAGTAAAACGTAACGCTTTTTATCAGTGCATTTGTATGATGACTGCTCTTTCCATGAGAGAATCTTGAAGTTTCTAGAAGCAGATTAAACAGCAATGATAAAATCATGCAGAAGCGTGTTGGTTGGAGAGAAATTCCCTGACAGGCAGGACGGGGCATTAAGTACTAAATGTGCCATGGAATCACAGTTTCCAACCCAGTCAGCAGTGACGGCCCTGGTTGTGCTGAAACATGAGAAACTATCAGGGTCTATTTCAAGTTTATTTACTCTCTCACCACTTCACCAAGTGACCCTCCCATTCAGCTCCCCAAGCCAAAAATGGAGAAAAACTTTTGAGGTTCCTCTTTCTGTTACACAATGTCTTTTTTTCCTTCTTCTTCTTCTTCTTCTTCTTCTTCTTCTTCTTCTTCTTCTTCTTCTTCTTCTTCTTCTTCTTCTTCTTCTTCTTCTTCTTCTTCTTCTTCTTCTTCTTCTTCTTCTTTTTTTGACTGACTGACTGATATCTGCCACTGTAATTGCTTCCTTATTTGGTGAATTAAATATTTACACTTGGCCTATCCTAATCCAACGTTTAGGAGAGACATTAAAGTACATTAAGGGAAACTATATTTATTTTAAAAGCACTGCTAACTGGGGATCTTGCCCCAAATGGTGTCTTTGGACCATGTGAGAGAAATGGTTTACGCTTTGAAAACAACATATCCTTTTTGCTGTAATTGTGCGCAGAGAAATTCTATCGACTTTTCGTTTAAGGGCCTGACACAAGTGCTCTGTGCACTGCAGAACTCTCTCAGGCTGACAGGAGAAAGCAGAGACGGCCATTGAGGAAACCTGCAGTTCGTACTTGTAGGAAGGGACAGGTGGAGAAGGTATCTCAGGAACAAGGCTGATTCAGAAAATAAAAATAATTCATGCAAAGCAGCACCACCGTGAACCTCAATGACAGATGGTGAAAGAACAAAGCCTGTGCGAGGAGCAAAAGGGTCACGCGGCACAGGTGGAGCTCTACTCTGTTGGGTTAAGTGCACAGTTTTCTTTAATATGCATCACTCTGGAGTGAATGTCAAATGAAATATTAAAAGTCTGACAGATTCTTCAAAACACACCTTAACATAGAGCTCTGAAACATCCTTACCTTTCCTACAATGTCTCATGGCCATTTTGCAAAATCTGGACTCAGCGATGGTGGGACAGGGTATTGTGTCCTTGGGAGGTTTCTTTACGATGTGCCGCGTTCGGGTCTCCAGACCCCACTTAAAGCCACAGGTTTTGTTTCTTCTGGTGCAGGCTCCCCATTCGCTCCACTGACCCACCTCACAGCCTTCTGCATGGAGACACATGGACAGCGATGTGCAATGAAACCATGGAAAACTCTTAAGCTTTCATGCTGGGATGCAATAACCTGTGGTCCCAGTTGAACTGCCTGTTTCAAGTCCAAAATAAGCAGGCCAACAGAGAAGTGATAAAATGCCACTTCACTTTAAACATTGTGTTTAGTTTCACCTACCTCCACACTCCATGATGTCTTCCAGTGGGGCAAAGCCCTCAGGACACTTATCAAAGCAGCGCCCTTTGTGCAGGTAGAAACCTGACTTGCACTTGGTGCAGAAGTCTTTGTCAAAACAGGACTCGCAGTTCTCTATCCTACACCCTAGAGGAAGAAGCAGAAAGAAGAAAAGCATTGGGGTCTCAGAAAGTCTCATCTGGAGTTGATCGAGAGCTAACGAGTTTGGGAATGGGGGTTGTCGAAGGGATTATGGTGTTCCTCCCTCCAAAAAATAAGAAATAAATAAATCAGACGATTACCAGCAAATCATTCTTCCGGGTCTGCTTCAAAGGACTTGTTTTGCCTGATACTTTTTCTTTTCTTCTTGTTTTAACAGATAATTCAAAAAAATAAAATAAAATGACAGCAGAGATGATGAAGAATTAAGTGATGCTGACCTATTTCAGCAGGATCGTCCAAAAATGGCAGTGGAGACACACAAGCTCACATGTTTTTAACTATGGATTGCCGCAAAAGGAAGAATATTTCACAGAATGCCATCTTATCACGTTGTGCTTCTCCAAACTGCATCTTTTTCCACAACCAAAAGTTTTTTGGAAAATAGGGAGTTTATTAAACTGAAAATAACGTCTCGTGGCCCTTCAAACTTTGGCTTCAGTTGAACGCAGAAGGTGGGTTTGCAACTGGAGGGCAGGATGGAGACACCAACATCTTGCCAAATAAATACAGAATAGTTTACTCAGCAAACACAACATCGCACTTATCGTCTCACACCACACCCTGCTGCTGTGCATGTCACTCAGCGGCGTGCTTGCAAAGAAAGGCACAGTAATGTGTCATCAAGCTCTCTGCAAATAGCATGTCGAGCAGAGCCAAATTACAACAACCACACCAACGGGGCGACACACAGACCCGCATGATTAGAAGGAGCCTCCAAAGTGGGATAATTTATGTTGCTTTTCAGAAATCCAATGTGGCTCTGTTGCTCAAAAACTGAAAGCTTCAACCTGTAGCCACTGACTCCCTCCACTATCGGGGGGCTTGCCCAGGTAGGGTGTCATCTCGCCCAACAGCACCTTGCATGGACACACACCCGTGCGTTAACGTGTGTATTCCTCTGAGAACGATGACGAGTGACTGTGATTTTCCACATGTAAGAGCGACAAAGGCTGAGGGCTGCTCTTTTATCTGTGACCCTTGCAGGGCCTGGGGAAGGGAAGGTTCTCACAATCACACCCCTTAATTACACCATCTCCAGCTAACCATCAGGCCTCCTCCTCGACATTCCTGCAAAACGAGGGGGTCCCTCCCCGCTTCACTTTGAACCCTAAAGTATGGCCTCTGCCCACTCACTCTGGTCTCACGCTTTCCCGACCAGTCTAAACAAACCATGAACACACTTGTACACGTAAGCACAAACACACATACCACCAAGATATGGTTAGAGATAGAGGCGATCTGCAGTAAAGCCGAAACATGCAGCTAAAGAAATGATAAATCACTGATCTCTTCAGCAGCCTCGTGTCTCCTAACATCCTCTAAGTGTTGCTTTGATCTTCTGACAGAACTGACCCTCCGTACATTCAATTTTGTTTCATTGTCCAGATGTGTGTTCACACTGATTATTTAATGGCCGTGCCCCTTTTTTATTTCTGTCTTGACTGAACTTCCTGTCTGTCTGGAGAAAACACAATCAATATTGTCCGGAGTGGATTGTAGACAAGAGCAACACGAGGTGCAAGCCAGAAAATCACAAAGCTGAGTGAAAAGCACAAAGTGTTCTTTTAAAACTCGCATTTCCTAGGCCTGTCATCACCTGACAGGCTTTCAGTTCACAAACAAAACAATTACAAAGAGTAAGAAGAAGACCAGGAACATCTGGCAGCACTCTAGTTAGTTCAGGGCTCAATGTGCAATTCTTTGTTATGGACAGTACATATCACCAGTGCAGCTGTAGAAGTAGCGCGCCGCAAGATTTTTGATTTAAACATCACACTTGGTTTCAGGCATTGACTTATGCATCAGTGTTCCTCTCTGAGGAAGTGGTAGCTGACTCATGAGTGTGGCTCCATGGACAGCAGCAGGGAATGCTACAGGGTCAGAGGTCATCTGAATGAGGTGGGTAGGGATCACCATGACAGACACTGAACCCCCCCTCCCTGTCCAGCCAAAAAGCTATCTGGGACACTAGAAATCAGTTGAGCCAAAAACAGATCCGAGGGAGCAGGTTCATTACCCGAGTGGGATTAACCTCAAGACCACCTTTAAAGTCTTCATTTAGGTACCACAGGGAGACTAATGAGGAATAATGAAGTCATCGGATCCCAGTGAAGGTCTGGAGTTCCAGAGGCATAAATGTATTATCATCATTATCTCTCAGCCTGGCTATGGTCCTGAGTTATTATATTATGAGCGCAGCAGAAGAAGCTCATGTCTTCTGAAGGGAACTGCAAAATATGTTGTCAAAACAGCTGAGTGTACTCCGTTTGAACTTCTGCCATCAGTTCTACTGGTTTCACCACTGCCACATACTGCTGTTGCACGTTTTTATCTTTAATGTGGCTTGAACGTAAAGCAAATGTGAAGTTAAGAGATGAGTCATCAAGTGTCACTTGTGATCTAATAGCACATGCTTGGCAGAAGCTGGTCCCTCAGCTGTGGTCTGGATGGGGAACCCGCTGATTTTATCACGGACACTCAAAGCCTCATGTCAGCCTCAGGCAAATGCCTTTTTTCACATGGCTGACAGCACAATGTGTAAACACTACATTTATTGACTTCGCTGTTAGGAAAAAGTTCCAGATTGCTCAGTGCAGGTCGATGAACCTCCCAAGTTCCACAGAGAAGTGGAGGCGGGCTGTCGGGCTCTTCCTCATCAGTTTAATGACAGTGCTTACCATCCTTAACGCGGTACAGCAGCGGCATCCTTGTTGTTGAACACCTGGCAGATTGAAGAGTGGAAAACCATCCCTGTTTTTCCATCTTTCTCCTCCAACCTCTGCTGAACAGCCCTGACCTGCTCTCTAGACCCCAGCTTTGGCCGACACTGGGGCTAGCTCGCTGCCACCCAGCCATGTCACAGGACGGTGAACGGAACAAGTTCACGATAAAGCTTAGAGCTGCCATGTTCATCCAAACCTTGTCTATGGTGTTTTTTCCACACGGGTGCTCCTCTGCTCACTAACATAAAGATAGGTGAAACAGAGGTGGTGGTCCTGTCAATCAACACCTTCCCAAGAGGGATCAGGGATGACAGATGTGTCCGCGGTCATTCATCTTTACTGGAGGAAACAGTTACTGATATACTCAGCTCTGCTTCAGTTCCATACCCACACAGCTCACCCTTACATGGGTGGTCAAGCATGGACAGTCCTTCCACCCACACCACAGTGGTAGGTATTTTCTCAGTTAAACTCTGAGCCTGTTTCTGCCAGGCAGAAAGACTTGGCTTGATGGATCCATTGTACTGTCTGTAGTGAGAAAAGCTGTGATGATTAGATGTCCCTTGGTGAAGCTCAAAGGCCAAAAGCAATTGGACTTTTTGTGGGTTAAGTCGTGCAATGGAAATACCCTCCAGTTCAGATTTACAGAGAGAAGTAGGGGTTTGAATGGGAGAGAGAGCTGCCAGGAGAGCCAACTGAATCTTGCTAAACTTACTTTGTGTTACTTAATTTTCACACCCGTGCTGTCGCTTTGGTTTAAGCTCCTGATGCAAAGCTCACATCCACATCCAAACCAATACAGTCCCATCGTAAAAGGCTAGCTTTGCGTGAAATAATTTGTTAATAGACTTTTTTTTTTTTTTACAATACTAAAGGTATTTTAAGGCATGGTTAACTGAATGGACTGCGTTCTGGAAATAATTAGTAATCAAAACAGTAGCTGAACAAACTCGAATAAGCTTTTCATTATGCAGCAAGTAACAAGGAAGTCCTGGGTAGAAATGAAGAATCCATATGTGGAGCGGGGGATCCAGCCCAAGGGAGGAAATTTCAAATGCAACCTTTCTCTCACACTGACCCTCTCAACAAGTTTGTCTTCATGTTCAAGCCAGCGCTTATTGCTGCCTTTCAGCTTGTAATTCTTTCAGCCAAAGAGTTAGCTGGAATACAGAATGACAACACATGCTTTGGCTTAGGAATGTGTGCAAGGACTAAACTATTATGAATAGCTGGGCAATTGCAAGACTGCACTCCACTCTCACGATGTGGCTGTAGATAAACGGTTTGGCTGTAGAGAAAACTGTACTGCTGCAGAGTCCTAGGGTGGCACCAAAAGGACACAGGTATGGATCTGTGCTGCTGATGAATAATTGATTTAAAGCAAGTCATCCATTAGCTATCACATGAGCAGACTCCTACATATATGTTCACAAAGAAAGATTTATAAATAGCACGGCTAATGAGCCACCTTCAAACCTGTAATGCTTCTCAAGCATCTTTGAAAAACATGTCTGATTTATGTTACATCATGAAAAACTGATCTCATGTTGTTCTTTGCTCTATTTGTTTTTGTATTTTTTCCATGTCTAATACTCAGTTATTTTTATTTCAAGAAAACAAGATTATCCAATAACTTCACAGCAAATTTGAACATAATGAGATAATTCATATAAATAGTTCTGTTGGAGGTGTCTTCCTGCTGGGTTATACAGGAAACTTTAAACCAATTGGCATAATAAACTGAACTCAATAGCCTTGAGACGACTCTTGTCATGATTTGGTGCTATACGAATATTCTGAATTGAAATAAATGTTGGCATCTTTGCAAATAAACTATCCTCCCAGAACAGAATGGTGAATGTGAAGCAGCGCTGTCACTCACTGAACTAGCCTCTTACACATTTCCAGAGTCTACATGATAAATGAGCTGCACTTGTATAGCACATTTCTGAGTCAGAGGACTCCAAAGCTCTTTACACTGCAGAGTCACCTCCTTAGGTCAAGACCTTGCAGTCCACTTACACCTGAAGGACAAGGGACAGACTTTTGAACATGACAAAGTTTACCTTTCCAGTACCTATAATGCAGCTTTGAATCTCATTCCAAAGCAGTTTCAGTCTAGGCTACACCTTCCTGCATTTAATCAACACAACGACTCCTTCACAATAAAGGCTAACGACTCATCAGGGGGTAGAGAGGAGG